GGGGGGGGGTCGATGGGGATAAGGTCAAGAGGAGATCTTTGAGGTTTTTTAGGGATAACTTTCCAGATCAGCTCTCAGGTTTTTTTAAGCCATTGAACAACCTCACAGTATCCCACTCTTCGGAATTTGGTGGTAGTATGCGTGCGCAGCTGAGCATTTTTTATGGCGCACTGATAGGTTGAGGGGCTCCCTACTCTCGTCACACCGATACCTTCGGTGACTTACATTATTCAATGGGTTAAGAGGGGGGAGGGGGTCAATGGGAGGCCTGGTCAAGGGTAACATTCCAGGGCAGCTCTGTGGGTGTTTAAAAGGGGGGAGGGACAATGTAGGCTGTGGTCAAGTGGGATCTCGGGGGTTTTCTGGGGGTATCTTTCCAAGGGAGTTCTCACGGTTTTTCTAGGGGGGGGGATTAATGGGGGGATTAATGGGAGGTATGGTCAAGGGGAGATCTCGGGGATTTTTTGGGCGTATCTTTACACAGAAGCTCTCAGGGTTTTCCGAGGGGCGGGCATGTTAATGAAGGGCATGGTCAAGGGGAGATCTCGGGATTTTTTTTATATTTACAAAAAAAAAATATTTGCAGTCCATGGGTTGATGAAGAACTTGGGTCACAATCCCGAATTACTTTTCTAATCAATCTTTCGATTGTATGTTTCGAATGTGAAATATCGTCTAAGAACCCCAGGAATCTCCTCTTAGCCATTTCCTCTGAAAATACCCTAGAAACTCCTCTGAAAAATGTTCCGTGAAAATCTCGGCGATCCCCCTAGAAAAATCCCCCTAGTTATCCCCTCAAACCTACTTTGAGAAATGTTCCCCAGATTTCTCCGAAATTTCGTTCCAACCATACTTTCGAGATCTCTTGACCACACCCCTATTGACCCCTGGAAGTAACCTCAAAGAACCCCTCGGGATGTCCCCTTCATCATACACTCCTTGGCAAATCCTAGAAAGATCCAGAGAGCTATCCCCAAAAGTCATCTTCAAAATCACCCGAGATCTGCTCTTGACGATCCCCTTCATTAATCCACTCCAGAAAGACCCTCAGAGCTCCCCTGGAAAGTCAACCCCAAAAAACTTCCGAGATCTCCCCTNATTTCCTAAATATCCTCAAAATCCTCTACAGCCTCAAATCCAGTCCCCATCCTAACCAAATAAGTCCGCACTTCCCTCATAACGCAAATGAAGCAATTAGGCTCCGACTGTCGCCAATGCCCCAGACGGACCCTAATATTTGTCCCAGATATTTGGCGCCTCCAAAAACCCCCACTCCTCAATTTTCCTCAGATCCGCCCTTTTTCCAAGACTCATGTCCTACAAAATAACTCTCCCTCAATTCAGTTCAAAATCACCCCCCGAACTTACAACACCTCCTAACTTAGGAGTCTTACTTTAATAAATCGTGAACACAATTATCTCGCTTCTCCGGCTCTCCTTATTATTAAATCGTTATTTCATCGAAATACGACGATCTCAATTAGGAGGGGGGAAGTGAATTTTTAATTCACGAGCGAATGGTGAAAAGTCACTGTGCGCCGAGAAGAAAATTATTTTTCTCACTGGCCCATGACTTTGTCGTAGTTTGTATTTTTTTGTTACAGAGATTAAGGGATGCAACGGGGATCGATTGATGGGGAATTCAATTCTCCGTCCCACCCTCTGTGTTTCATTCCTTAATATTAATTAGTCAGCAAATGAATCACCTGAAAAACATTAAGAACATGTTGAGGACGAGGAGGATATAAATTACCCTCCGAAACTATCCCTGCGACAGCGGGACTGCTACTGCCGATGCCGAGTTACCCGCACAGGCAGTTCGCCCAGCCGTCAGATTCGACCGTGGCGGCATCCCTCCGTTGGGGTCGAACTACTTTTGGCTTGGGGTCAGTCCAACCCCGAGATCTGAGCCTCTACTTTAGTCAATCCTCTTTGGCCTCTACTTTAGTCAATCCTCTTTGGCCTCTACTTTAGTCAATCCTCTTTGTCTAAATCGCTATATACTTAGCAGATCGAAAAATTATTTCTGAGTGAATTTTATTTAATTATAGCAATTGGGAATAATTAGAGAGAATTTGGGAGCACAAAATTATAATTTAGGAGTCCATAGTTGATTTATAATTAATTGTTTAAATTCCATATAGTTAGCAGATAATATATTGAAAAAAAAATAGTGGTATGAATCGATAGCAAATAATTTGGGAAGTTCAAAAATGTCAAAGTCAGAATTAGGGAGTAGATAAATATTTATTTATGAGGATCCTCATAAGAAAGTTAAAAAATATTTATTTATAAAATATTTATCCACTCCCTAATCCGGAATTTGACTTTTTCGAACTTCCCAAATTATTTGCTATCGATTCATACCCCTATTTTTTTCAATATATTATCTGCTAACTATATGGAATTTAAACAACAATTAATTATAAATAAACTATGGACGCCTAAATTATAATTTTGTGCTCCTAAATTCTCCCTAATTATTCCCAATTGATATAAATGAAATTCATCCGGAAATAATTTTTCTATCTGCTAAGTATATAGCGGCCTTGGTAACAGAAATAGTAGATAAAGTAGTTTCCCGATCTACCATCTCCATTGAAAAACCCCCTAACCTTAAATGCAAAGTATTTGCTCACTCATTCCAAAACAATTAAAATTCCACTGGGATAAAGATATGAGCTAACATGTTCAACGGATTCGTACATTCAATTCCAGTTCCCAGATTGTACAAAACTGTTGCGAAAACCGTGCGTCAGGTGACTGAGGAGGGAGCTAGTCTGAAACAACTGATCTACGAGAAAAAACACCCGGTGAGTGCACGTGTTCGACTCCGCCTCGATCATAATTCATATTTTTTTCTTCCTCACTGAATAATCTTCACGTAAACGATACAGTTATCTTCATTAGTATCATTTTAACATCATCTCTCATTTTTTCCGCCTGAGAAAAACACAAAGAGAGAAAGTTTGTAGTTTTACGTAAAAGTCGTTGAATTCCTCCACTGTCGTGCTGAAATCTCATGAGAAAAAATCTTGGGAATATGTGAAGTTTTCACTTATTTTGAAGCAGTATTAAGGAGAGATCCTGGTGAAATTTGAAAGTCTTCGGTTAATGCAAATAACTATCGAGCGACTTTTCACATACCATGGGGTACCTAAAAACTATAAGAAAAATTCCGTCCCCAACCTTTTTATCCCGTACGTCACGCGAAAACGTCGTTTTTCGTGTTTTTGGTTTTGAAATGTGCCTCGCATCATAATTTTAGTCCCCCCTCTCCCTCCTCAAAAATATCCAAGTACTTTGGCCATTTTTTCTCCAGTGAAACGCGTTTCTACTTTTGTAGTCGAACATGAGAGTTTTCATTTGGGCTCCATTTGACCCGAAGTTTCCGGACATTTTACGATTTTATCCTTTAACTGTGCAAGTCTTGATTGACTCTCGATATTGAACTGTTACAAAACATTTTAAAAATGTGAAAAAAAGTTTACAATTAATTTTCTACTATAAACATTATTTGCTGGGAATCGTAACAAATTTATTCATATTCAGAATTTGACCAGAAATCGATTTTATGCCTAAAAAAATGTCTCCGAAAGTTTAAACCATTTCAATTATTTATTTATAAACGACAAAGGTCTAAACAAATAACAATCCTATGCAAAATGTAATTTGAATGACACTGAATATTCATGATTTTGTGCAAACTCTTCTCACCCAATTTAATTGAAAAATTGGATGGTTGAATCTATAATGTGGTCTGTACCAAAAAGTAAAGCATACTTGGATATCTTTAACGAACTCCAGTTGAGTTATTGAGTCTTACGAGGAAGAATAAATTTAGGAAGCCCAAAAAATAATTGTTGATCATTGATAATTTTTCGCATAAATTCTAACTTTGATGAGTGTAACAAATTGATACTGACGTTCATTTTTCCTCGTCCGGGGGTTGGTATTGGCCCTTCCCCACACTCAAAAAAGTGAAAATCATTACGGAAAAATATCGTTCACGACTAGTGTCATGGGTTTTTTGTTACTCGCATGGTTGGTTCCGAATGGAGATTACGTATTAGAATTACAAAAACGGCGATATCTCGAAATTTTTTCTTCTTCCTTCATCCTTTGTCATTCGAAGTGTATTACCTTGATTCAATTATTATACTACCAAATTAATGTTCCATTTTTCCAGAATTTCATTTTCTTCAAATCCTCTTAGTTTAAAAACGTAAAGGTTCTTAGTTTGAAAACCCAATGTTCTCAATTCCAACACTTTTGTCACTTACAATGAGTAGTTTTGATATTGGATTTTTCTTCGAACATGAAGTAACCTGTTTCTTATTCAAGTACAATGCGTTCTAGAACCATAAATTTCATAAAATCAGTCACTTCACCACTTATGTAATTTACAGAAATTTTTAATAGAGAATATTTTATAGATAACATCAATAGATTTTCATCTTTCCACCTAATTTATTCTAATGACATTTCTGTAGAAATTCTCCAGTTTTAATTTTCTCAATTGTTTTTTACTTGAATTTTTATCAAAAGGAAAAAAAAAAGTATTGAAAAAAACTTAGAAAATTTATTTCGAAGAACTTCTACAGAAAACGTTTGTCATCACTCATTCATGCAAAAGAAAAATTTATTACCCTTTCACAATTCAGAATCTCAAAGGAGTCTACGCCCTAGCAACAACAACCCTCCACAATGCCGGAAAACTGAACGAAATAATTCGAAAGACTCAATTATTATTCAAAGAGCCACGTTTCGATCCCTGGCTAGCTCGTGTCCTCATAACAGAACTGATATGGGGAAAAGGAATCCTAAAAAACGAATCAAAACCAGTTCAAACAATTCTCACCTACGAGAACGAAATTCGTCAACATTTGCAAAACTCGAGTCCAGAATCACCCAAAGAGGAGCCCAAAAAGAGAGGTAACTGTACATTCACACTTTAATCCACATTTATTATTTTTCCAGAGATCATAAAATTCTCGATGTCAACACGTGGAGATTCTCACTGATGCATTGATGGTTCTCATCATACGAAACAGTCGAATTCAGTCAAGAGATAGATCGAGATTCAAGAGATTATTTTCGTGCGTTATACCTCGAGAGGGAAAATCCATTAACAGGAGTAGAAAAATAAATTCAGTCGATATGAGTCTCGTTAATGTCCTGGGAACATTGTTCCTCTACAGTGCAGCTATGTTTACCTTACCCTTCCTGACATTTTTTGGTGTCCAAAATTTTCTTAATACAGAGTATCACATGGAGAAATTTACTAGCAATTGCATCTCGGTTTTGGCTGCTGTAGTTGTGGTCAATCTTATCATTGCTTGTTATGTTTATAAAGCTCTTATGGAGCCTGATGAGCCAAAGAATGATGATGGGATTGATGAGGAGGGGGAGGAGGAGGATCATGAGAAGAGGGACTAATCGAAGAATTGAGTCGTGCATTTATTGTTATGTAAAGTCAGTCAAGAAGAATTCAAGTTCCTTGAGAATGCCTTTGAATCAGAAGAAGATGAAGGAATTTTTGTAAGGACTTTATTGCAGCTTTCGCTGATGTGAGTGCTAGAAAAACGAATTCTGATAAAAAATAGGCCATCTCAAGGTTTTTTTTCCAGAACTGATGGAGAGTATTAAGTGAAACGAAATAATTGAACTCAATTTGAGAGCAGTTTTGGACAGATCTCAGAATCTAAAGAAGATGACAAAATTTCTCTGGGGATATATTTTTTGCAGCTCTCGATGTAAAAGAAAAATCAAAAGAAATAGCGCATCCGTTAGGAAGTTCCATTATATTTTTGCGATTCTATTGAGTATTTATGCATTTTTACTGACTTATAAAAAATATTTAATAGAATATAAAATATTTTGTATTAAAAGGCCTCCACTTGATTTTTTAAACTTCAATTTTTCAATGACTAACGGAAAACAATCAGGGAAAAACATGGAATAATTAGTATAAATAGCTTACAGTGGTTATAAGAATGATTTCTAGAAAAATTGGTACAATAGTCAGATTTTTCTATAAAACTATTTTCTTGAAAAAAAAGCGTGGAACAATCGGCGATAGAATTTTCAATAGAAATTCAGTCGAATATTCTAGCCAATGCATTAGATTTTTCTGTGGATTTTTTACGGATCAAATTTTTCCATAAAAAATATTCCTAAAATGGCACTATGTTTCTCAGATCTGAAGATATTCATCAAGAACTGATCTTCAAGTGAAGTTGATTAATCTCGTTCTTCCCTTGAGTGCCTGAATCGAAAATTCCTTTCATTTTGTTCCAGTGATTAATTTAGAAATTATTGCTTTCATGTCAAATCCATTCTTTATCTAATATCTTTTGTGATTATACACAGTATTCACCCATGTATAATAGAAGTCATGTAAATGATTTGATATTATCGATCAATGTGAGAATAAAATAGTATTGATATTAGTTTTTGTGTTTTCATTCCCATCCCGACGAGAACATCTAATCCTGGGAGCCCTTTCTTGTTTTTTACAGCTCAGAAACCGAGGTATGTTCGGATTAATACACTGGTGAAGAGCGTTGATGATGCGATAGAGGGGTTCAAGGGGGATGGATATGAGCTTTTGCCTAAACCCAAGACGTATGGAGAGTTTCTAGAGTTTGTGAAGAATCTGGAAAACTGGCCTTACCCGGCATTCATCCAGGATTTTCATATTGATGAGTTGTTTGCTTTTCCTTCGGGAACGCATTTCTATAATCATCCTGGGTATCAATGTGGGGCTATTGTGTTGCAGGACAAGGTGAGACTGAATGTCAAAAGACATTTTTTGCCATGAAATTTCTCAGCTGCAGATACAACAACAAAATTTGTAGGAAAGCCCAACGCGACGGCTAGGAAATTGTATTGGATTTCTATTAAAATTCTTTAGTGTAATTTTTCTTTTTTTCCGCAATTGTTTGAATAGACATGTTCAATTGAAAATATCCTTTATTGAAAAATAGGTGAAGTATTTCTTTCTTAAGGCCCGGGTGGATTATCTTTCGAACGTGATCTTTGTTATTTTTTTTAATTTTGATAATCTGAAATGATCTTCAATTGCTATTTAGTTTTACATAGCCCTAGAGTCTTCAAAAACTATGATTGTACAATCAAAAAAACGTTGAAAAAAAATTGAACATTTTCAGAGAGAGTTTTTGAATAATATTGGGATGAGTTAAACTTGATTGGGAGGAAATGGCAAATTAATAATTTGATGCATCTAATGGCTGTTAGGTCGTCATTTGTCACAGTATTCCATGGCTGTCAGATCGTTAATTACTATGATAAATTATCCATTCACTATTTCCTCTCTGCAGGGATTATTTCTTAATTCTTATTAAAAACACTCTTTGAAAATGTTCAATTTTTTTTCTATTTTTTTCTATTATAAAATCATAATTTTTAGGGACTCCTGCGTGATGTAAAATCCAATGGAAATTGTGATATATTTTAGATTATGAAGATGGAAAAACAATCGAGATGATCAACGTTTGAAAGATAATCCATCCGGGCCTTAATAGGCAATATCACCTTCGCTTTTAATTAATTTCTTCATTGGATTTTCTTTCGATCAAATCCAAATATTCCAGTGAGAATCAGTGAATCTATTGATTGCATTACTTATTGCTTGAAATTTTTGTAGATAAGCTCCCTGGATGATGAAGATGATTATTCATAGGAATTCTCTTCTCTTCATCTTACCTGATATTAAACGTTGTAATGAACGATATACTTTGTATTACTTTGCAGGCCAGCTGCTTACCTGCTTATTTATTGAATCCTAAGCCATGCTCTGTTGTGCTCGACATGTGTGCTGCACCTGGGATGAAGACAACGCATTTGGCAGCGATACTTCAAAACAGAGGGTAATTAAGAATCTTTAAAGTGTTCAACTGATTATTATAGAGTTATCGAAATTCTTAGCCAATTCCGCTCCTTCCGGAAGAATGAATTCATTAGTTTTGTTGCGATGCTGGGAAATAATGGACAGACACAATATCATTAAAAAAAATCCATGTAACGTTTTCTGTCCCCGATCTTTTCGGCTATAATTTAACTCTTTTCATAGGTATTAATATAGCCATAACTATATGAATAGAGTTGAATTAATTATACTATTGACTATAATCTATAGTTATGAATATTGATATAGGTATACTTATAAATTGATAACTATAACTATTTCTACAGCTAAGTATAGCAGCGGAATTTTAAATGTTAAAAAACGAGAACATTCTGAACAAACACTAACGAAAAAGTAGTGTAAATTTAGAAATCATGTATATTGACTACATCACTCTTTACTCTCAATTATCGATTCCAAAATTTTTTCTTTTCTGTTGCAAATCATATTTTCGTCTCTGGGCTGGATAATTGGGAAATTTCAATAGTTTACCAATTACAACCACAGGCGTACACAATGTATTTCAAGAATTCCTCACGCATTCATGAGAAATTAATGTCTTTTTTTATAGAAAAGAAACTATAAGGTCCAATGGGTATATTCACAGCACGCGGAGAGCGCAAGATACCCTACTTATAAAAAAATGATATTTGAAATTTTCAGAAATAAAATATAATAGCTGTATGACATTTCAGCTTTCAAAATGATACCACTATTCTCATTATATACTGATAAAAAAAACATACATTCTCAAAATGTAGAAAGGAAGACGATTGCATATCATTATAGTCAACTCTGCCTTCTTCTTCTATTCCAGATGACTTTATGCATAAACTCTGTTAGGGGCAAGTGCCAATTTTTCTCTACGTTACGCCAAGTTTTCTCATATAATTTAAATTCAGTCGAAATATATAGTTTTTTATTTACGCCGGAAACCCTATTTGGGTTTATTCAGCGAACTACCCCCCTGCCTAACCGTGCAGCTGTAGCCGATTTTATGCATTGCACCGCATTTGTCTCCTCACGAACGGAGAAAATGCAGGGAACCACACAAAACCAGCGTCGGTACAGTCGGTTACTCTATTAGGAACCACTCGCTCGCCGAGAGCCGAGGTAAGCCGAGCGCTCTCGGGAGAAGTTGACCCAGATGAGCCCCTTTACAGAAGTTAAGGCGCCTTCTCAACCGGAATCCGAACCCTAGTCACCAGGTCGAAGATCTGACCCCTGCGAAGAGAAATAAAAAAATCCACCCCGGCTCGGATCGGAGCCCCGACCGCCTAAGCATCAAAGCAAAGGGTTGGGCGTGTAAATTACGTTGGTAAATTACACCGTTTTTTACCGACGTAATTTACGCAAATTACCTCAACGGGTCTTTTACATTTTTACATTATTTCGAAAAGCTTGGAATTTTCGGTTACTATAGAATGTTTTATTTTATTCCAACTGACGAAGACAGTGTTGGACACATAAAGATCATAAAAAATAGTATATTATGTCCCGAGGACAGATCAACTGCGAATTTTAACTTCACTTTGATCGGTTAGAACGCGGATTTCGGTACTCGGGGTATAAAATATTATATTATGTATACTATATTATTATAATTGTCTGACTCGTGTGATTAAAATCCTCGCCTTGGACTCGGATTATAACGCCACATTCGTCATAAAAAACTTTCATCGCCTGGTGACAATATACTATTACATCATGTGATACGATTTACGGTATTTTAAGAAACTCAAAAATATTAGCCTCGTACCTCGCCAATGGCGTTGTCACTGGTTTTACCGACTAAACAAAAAATCGAGAAACACGACAAAAATTTTTTCGGTTGCTGAGAAACGCGGCGAACTTACTGACCCAGTTAGTAGTGCAAGAAAAATGCTATAAAAAAGCTCAGGTGAGCTTTCAATCATCAGAGAAAGCGAAGAAATCATGAAATTTCCACATTCGATCTTTAGGGTCATTACAATGATTTCCTTCCTTTGGGTCGGGACGTTGAAAATAGTAGATTATTATATACGGGAGAAGCAAACAGGACAATTGTACCCTGGTGAAAGTCATACGGCGAAAGAAATAAAAGACATATGGCGAAAATAATTTCTTGACTGGAGAACATCGCATGCGTATTCGATCAATTCACGGTAGGTTTCAGATAAGAAATCGGTGCTGTTCGGGTTAACGGAGGATGAAACTGAATAAAAAAATAATTTTTTTTAAAAATTGGATGAAATTCCTGAAGAGACGAAGTAAGTTTGAGAGAAGGAAAAGCTGTTATTGCTTTCCTTCGAACTCATTGCGATTAAGAGCAAATGACAGTTATATTTTAGAAATATCTGAAGGTTCTCCTCTGTATAAATTCTGCATTAATTCAATATAATAGTCTCTGAACCATGATTCACCGCATCGGAGCTTTTAGTATTTTTAGTAATTTTCTCATTTTTTGTCACGAAATAAACGATTTCTTGAGGCAAGAAATTCTCCCTTTATCGCCAACTGTTCATGCTCAAGTCATGACCATTTCACAGCATTCTTACTTTGATTCATTATGGGGAATTCTTACCCCAAGCTTTTTTTTTTGAAAGGTCTTTTGAGTTCCCTTTTCGGGTCTCATTTCGGGACTCTATCCAACTCTATGCATGCGGCTATGGATTCTACACTGTCCCGCATTCGCATCCCTATAGAACATAGGAGTAGCATGGGAAACCACAGAAAACCCATGCCGGTACAGGCGGTTCCTCTATTAGCAATTCCCGAGTGGAAATTCCGGTCAGGTCTTGATCAAGTTTCGATTAGGTCAGACCTGACCACTGATAAGGTATTGATCAAGTTTATGGATCCGGTCTTGATTAGGCATGTAATGCCTCTGACCTATCCGGATTTGATCAGGACGAATGGATCCGAACTTGATCAAGTCGAATGTATGCAAACCGGATGACCTGTCTGTCAGTATCAATAATAATTATCAATGATCAGTCTAGGATCGCTCAAGCGTTGAAAAAATCGAATTTCGATTCTTTTTATTCTGAATGTGGTAACTAAAATAATGATGAACCCATAGGAATTTTTTCAAATTTTTAAAATTATTTTTGTACTGGCGCATAGCAGTTCAATTTGCTATGCACTTTTACACGTTCTCACAGAGAGAATGTGATAATCATTTTTTTAATACTCAATTAGTCAATTTATCGCTATCACCCTTTGTAGACTTTCTGAAAGGGAGGTAAGGAATACATAAAAAAAATTTTCTCTGCAAAATAGCTATTTGTTATTGAAATAAAAATCCGGATTTATGCGAGATTTAGAGATCTTCAGACGCCTCTACGAGCCCTACGGAGCATCCATTATTCGTCTAGATTTGATAGAATGATTAACAAACTATTTGACATTCGTTTGGGAAGGAAAAAAAAATTACAATAAATCCAATGCCGAGTAAACTGCGAAAGAAACTTGATAAATTTTCGTCCAAGGACAGGTGTCCGGCTTATCCGGTGCTTCCACAACGGTCGTTTAAACTGACATTGAACCCAGGCAAAAAAATTGTACCTGAGGTACTGACCCTTTTAAGAAAGGGACCTACCTTTCAACCCGCGCGTCTGCTGACCGTACATGTTTTTATTTCTTACATATAAATGTTATAGTTACAAATTTTTTTATTTCAAAATTTACATGATTGAATCGATCAATTTACGGCAATTTCAACAAAATTTGAATAGAAGAAATAGCTTAATTCTAAATAGTATCATGCCATTAATATAATTTTCATGTATCGTTGATATTTAATAGTATTAATATTAGTTTCCAATGGTTTTTTTTGCTTCCGAATGGAAGCATTGTAATCGTGCTGTTTTCACATTTTCTAATTTTGATTGGAAATTATGTAGAATGGTCTGAAACGTAAAAATACGAAGTTTGGCGACCATGTCTGTCGGTGTCAATGTCCATCGCCACCTTTCCGGTGGTCAATTTTTGGACAATTGAGTAATTAATTGGCTAAACTTATTCCAAAAAATCTGAAATTTTGTCAGATTATAAACCTTAACAAGGACTAACTCTGTGCAGAAGTTCAGCCCGATTAATCAAATAGTTTTTGAGAAAAAGCTACTCCTTTTTGCATCATTTTTCGCTAATATCTTCGAAGCTAGTCAACCGATTCCAATTTTTTTTCAAAATATTCGTTCCGATGCCTTCTATCCGAAGGAATCAAAACATATACCCGTCCATACAAAGTTTTCGAGATATTTCCGTTTTTCTGTTTTTCATAAAAATTCTTGTAATTACTCTAGCTTGTAGAAAAATTGAGATATCAACTTGAAATTTGGAAAGAATCTTCCTCTCGTGATAATAATCCTTCCTATTGAAAATGAGCTTAATCGCATGAGTAGTTTCCGAGATATTTGACTTTCTCTGAAAACCTTTTATGTGCAATATCTTAAAACTACGCAACCGATTTCAATTTTTTTTTTCAAATATTTGCTTCGATGCCTTCTATTAAAATCAATCAAAACATATACGGCCGTTCATACAAAGTTTTCGAGATATTTCCGTTTTTCTGTTTTTTCATAAAAATCCTTGTAATCACTCGAGCTTGTGCAAAAATTGAGATATCAACTTGAAATTTGTACAGAATCTTCCTCTCATGATAACAATCCTTCCTATTGAAAATAAGCTCAATCACATGGGTAGCTTCCGAGATATTCGCCTTTCTCTGAAAACATTTTATGTGCAATAGCTTAAAAGCTACGCAGCCGATTTCAATTTTTTTCTCAAAATATTTGTTTCGATGCCTTCTATCCGAATCAATCAAAACATATGTACCCGTTCATACAAAGTTTTCGAGATATTTCCGTTTGTCTGTTTTTTCATCAGGAGGCAGTTATTTTCACTGACATTGTTGATATCTACTCTGAGCGGGTTTGGTGTTTCCATTTTTTTTCTTTCCTTAATAGAATTACTACAGAT